TCTTTTCTCTCCTCACTTTACATGTAACCTCAAACAGATTAAGACACTGCTGTCCCAACCCACGCTATTTATGAGTGCTGCATCCTTCTATCTTGGTTTTATGCACTTGTGTTTTTATCAGTTGTCAAGGAAACCCCAGATTTCTACTACTGCAGCTCTGTGTTTAGATTGTTTATGGTAAAGATAATATCATTTAGAAATGTAGAGGTAACTCACCTAATTTGCCTGATAGCCTAGAGATCAGAATTTGTTGCTAGCAGTGAAACATCCAGCTTTTAAAAAATATGTATTGTTATTAAAATGAGTCTAAATTTGAAGAAAATTTAAACCAGCATTTTAATCTGCATGCTGTATTTGTATATAAGTGTTATTATTCTTGATAAAAGGATGACTTGTAACTGCTCATACAGCAGCTACATACATGCAGCCATTTTGTGAAAATTACCAAGATGTATTCTCAAAATTCCAAATATTTTGACCAGCCCCAAAAGATTTCTAACTTTGGGCTTCACATGAAGAAACCAAGCTACTCCAATCCTCCCCACCCCTGCCACCTAATATACCACTCTAACAGCATTTACTGACTTTTTAAAGATTTGTTATTTGTCTGTCAACATCTGCTTAAACACTAACCAGAGAAACAAAGGGAAACAGAGAAAAAAAATAATAGCCCCCTAATTTGTAGCTTTATTACAAAAATTATGGATAGAAAACACAACGAGCCTTAAACCAAGCAAACCACGAGTAAACCATGACCCATTGGGCCAAGACTTCTATTGGCAGAAGTCATAGACAAACAATAAGCCTTAAAAAAAAGCTAACCTCATGAGGAAAAATGGGAAGGAGCCACCTTGCTGCAACCCAATGCATTCACAACTAGTCTTGTGTGTGTTGTTTTACCATCTAAACATGGTCTGTGTGTCAGGGTTTGTAGTGCTTAGGTTTTAATGGTTGTTTCATTGCTTGTACTCCTTTTTGAAATCTAATAGCAGAGGTTAAAAACAATAAATGAATAAATAACCTCAGCATAGGTTCCCAAACAGATAAGACATACTCTATTCTGTCTATTCTCTCCTTTTCCTATATTCGCCTGCTACATTGTTATGAATTATGGTTACAACAATAAACCTCTATTAGATAGATAATGTATATTCTCTTTTCTTCTAAGATAAAAGCCCAAGAGTAAATAAACATCTTATCTCCCAATTCCTGCACAATAGAATATCATACCCACTAATTAGATGTTAAATGTCACAACATATATTCACTAATTTGACTTGTGTTAATTTTCTGAAGCTTTTCTGAAAGTTTGAGTCTACTAACAAGAATTTCTAAAATTACTTCACAGCTAGTTATTTAACTGTTAGTCATTAGATCAAACATATAACCCAGGATTCTATTTCTTAAATCTCTGAAAAGTCCACAAGCAGGACAAGAAAGTCTCATTAAATACCCAAAAGTATACTCTCCCCAAACTTGGGAGACTGTGTATTACTTTCATGGCTGCATATTATTATGATTAGTAGCCCTGATAGATTTAATGGTCATTTTAGGCAACTGTGCTATTTATAAGTTACAGAAGATACTGAAGATCTGAGTTCATCCTAACATTTGCTGCAAAACTGAGGAACTATGACTGAATGCACTTTCTTGTATGGCACTTTCTTGTATTGTCTCCTTGTGCACTCAGCTGTATAATGAAACAAGAACTGATGCTTTTCTAGTAGTTCTCCTTATATCAGCCAGCTGCATTTTGTTAAAGTACAAAATAGCTGTTTTATATTTTAGCCAAATATATTTAAGAACTACCAGGAAATAACATTTCTTCTGAGGGCATAACTGTTTTAATGCAGCAACTTGGAAGAATATAAACTTATAGACATGATTCACATGCCAATAATGGGTTACAAGGCCAGTTAAACTATTATGAGTATATTCAGATAGATTTGTTTTACTCATAAAGTAAAATTCAGTGCCACAAGAAGTTGTGGTCATGACTACTAATTTACATACCTTACAGAAGCATCAGACAAATTAGTATAAGCTATGTTTAAATTGTTATTAACAGATGTTCAAAAAAAGTCTATGGGACAACTACCAAGAGGAAGTATGAAGCATTTAGTCTAAATCAACAACTTACCAAAGAAAATAAGAACTCTTTGCACTGGAAATCAACCACAATTTCTTTGATCTTCAAATAGCGGTTTAACATATTTTAAGTATTTTCTTTCCCAGTGTCCTTTGACTGTGAGGTCTAAATTTGCAAAAGTATGGTATTTCCCTGGAAACAAATATCACAGAAATCAATGGGATTTACTTTTGAGTTGGAACATATGGAATTAAGCATTATAATAATCTACAGTACTGTATTCCATTTTCCCAATTTACCCTATACAAATATATTCCCATTTAAAAATATCTACATTTGTATAGATAACTAGATAGCATATTAAAAAGCAGAGACGTCACCTTGCCGACAAAGATCCGCATAGTCAAAGCTATGGTTTTT